CTACCCCCCAAAAGACCCGGTATCGACCATCGTATCGAAACGAAGCCCGGATTTATTCCCAAGACGTCCAAAATTTACCCCCTTTCCTACAACGAACGAAGCGCAGTAAAAAGATTTATCGAGGAAAACCTTGCCAAAGGGTTCATCACGAAATCTAAATCCCCTCAAGCAAGCGGATTCTTTTTCGTAGGAAAGAAAAGCGGAGAACTCAGACCATGCCAGGACTACCGCTTCTTGAATGACCAGACTATCAAAAACGCGTACCCCCTGCCACTCCCATCATCCTTGGTTGAACGGTTACATGGCGCAAAGATATTCACAAAAATTGATATTCGATCCGGATACAATAACATTCGGATTCATCCGGATGACAGGTGGAAAGCCGCGTTCATCACGGAAGAAGGACTGTTTGAACCCACGGTCATGTTCTTTGGATTATGCAATTCCCCCGCCACTTTCCAAGCGTATATGAACAATACGTTCAGAACTGAACTCAACGAAGGATGGCTCGTCATCTACATGGACGATATGCTCATCTTCTCCGAAACAACCACCGAACACCAACAACGAACCCGCATTATTCTAGACAAACTTCGAAAAGAAAAATTATTTGTTAAACCGGAGAAATGCACGTTCGATGCGGAAGAAGTGGAATATCTTGGAATGATTATCAAACCAGGAAGTGTAGAAATGGATAGAGGGAAGACGGCAGGCATCAAAGACTGGCCCACCCCTGAAACAGTAAAAGATGTTCGATCTTTTTTGGGCTTTTGTAACTTCTACCGAACCTTCGTTTCCCACTACTCGGATATAGCTCGACCCCTTATCGACCTAACGAAGAAGGATGTCTCATTCTCTTGGACGCCCCTGTGCCAGCAAACGTTCGAGAAGCTAAAAGAATGCTTCACTTCACACCCTGTTCTTCAGAACCCTGATCCCCACCATCAATTCGCCATCGCTACGGATGCTTCTCTTGTCGCATCAGGAGGAGTATTGCTGCAGACTGACACTAATGGCGTCTATCACCCGTGTGCATACCTATCGCAGTCGTTCAGTCCTGCTGAAAGGAATTACCCCATTCATGATCGCGAGCTGTTGGCTATTATCCGCGCCCTCACCCATTGGCGACACTACCTCGAAGGACATCCACAACCGGTTATTGTGTTTACTGATCATATGAACCTCCTCTATTTTGCAAAAGCAGAACGCCTATCCAGAAGACAGGCCAGATGGCAACTACTCCTCACCTCTTTCGACTTAAAGTTATATCACATTCCCGGTACAAAATTAGCAGTTCCGGATGCCCTTTCTCGCCGGCCGGACCATGGCGACGGATCGGGAGATAATGCTGACGCCGTCCTCCTTCCTGATTCCATGTTTATCCGCCTAATCGATGATGAATTACGAACAGCTATTGCTTCCACCGCACCCCTTGACAACCCCCTCTTCTCTGCCGCGCAAGATGCCCTTAATGGCCTATGTTTGCCTCCTATGAAATCATCGCTTAGCGACTGGCGTATCGCAGATGATGTTCTGTTCTACAAAAATAGAGCTTATATCCCTCCCGCACATCGACCGCAGTTACTCCGGAAGCATCATGATCACCCTTCTGCAGGACATCCCGGACGTTTTAAAACCGAAGAACTCGTCAAGCGGGAAGCCTGGTGGCCCGGTATGGGCACTTATATCCGCAATTACGTCGATGGCTGCGCTACTTGCCAACAGATGAAGGTGGACACTCACCCTGTGACTCCACCCCTACACCCTATCAGTACTATGGCTACTCGCCCTTTTTCCCAGATCTCTGTCGATCTCATTACTGATCTCCCCGTTTCATCTGGCTTTGATAGTGTCATGGTCGTGGTAGACCACGGGCTTAGTAAGGGGGTGATCATTACTCCTTGCCATAAAACAATTACCTCGGAAGGAGTGGCGAAGCTATTTTTAAAACACGTTTTCAAAAGATTTGGTCTCCATGACAAAGTAATCTCCGATCGTGGACCACAGTTCTTATCCAGATTCTCGATCGAACTTGCGCGACTCCTAGATTATTCTTTAGCCCCCTCCACTGCCTACCACCCACAAACCGACGGACAGACCGAACGATTAAACCAGGAACTCGAGACGTATCTTCGAATGTATTGCCAGAACAATCCTTCTGAATGGGTGGAACATCTCCCCATGGCAGAATTTGTTCACAATCACAGAAGACACTCCGCAAAAGATGCATCCCCTTTCTTTATCATGATGGGATACGAGCCGAAAGCTCTCCCACACTTACTTCCGGAATCGGACGTTCCTGCTGCTGAGGAACGAGTCAGAATTCTTCAAAAGATAAGAGAAGAAGCTGTCTCCTGTCATAACATTGCTATGCAACGCATGGCGGAAAGATCCTTCGGACAGAAGTACGAACCATGGAAAGTCGGAGATAAGGTATGGCTGTCCGCTGCCAATCTCAGACTAAAGCTCCCATCCCGGAAACTGGCACCCAAGAGATACGGCCCGTTCACTATCACGGCCGTACTATCCGCTATCACGTTTACGCTCCAGTTACCGCTGCAATGGAAGATCCACCCTACGTTCCACGCTTCGCAACTATCCTCCTATCGCGAAAATGACGTACATGGTCCGAACTTCCTAGAACCACCACCTGATATTCTCGAAGAAGAAGAAGAATATGAAATAGAAGCAATCCTCGCACATAAAGGAAACGGAAATCGCCGTCGATATCTCGTATCATGGAAGGGGTATTCTTCAGCTAGCAACGAGTGGATCCCCGAAAAGAATCTGGAAAATGCCGAAGAAACCCTTAGAGCCTATAAAGCCAGAAACGCGCTTTGAGGTTACTCAGTACCTCGACGACATCATTCTTACCCAAATACAAAACCTACAAACAGAATGCCCTTCCCCACATCCACCTACACGCTCCCATACCACTCCACCTTCGATACTGCCCCCCTTGATTCCAATGACGAACGATACGAGACCTTCATCACCCAAGCTGAAGACCTCACCCTCATCGAGGCAGCACTCCTTTGCCCCCAACATGCTATTGAACTCACCAGAGTTCTCTTCGGAAGAAACGCCCATTCCATTAACCTCCTCATCAACATCATCCGAGCCACTGAAATCATCGAGCGAGTCTGCCGCCTCGTCGAAGACAACACAGTTCGCCACAGCCTCATGCATATGCAGAGGCGCATACGCAACTTTGCTTTGCGTCTTATTCCTGAGGAAGTTAAGGATGATATTAGAACAGTCATCCACATTGTCGCAGAACAGACCGCAGGAGTTGCTCGCCCGCCTTCTCCTACGAACCCCGCAACCACAGATGGAGTCCCTTCTCCCTCTTATCAAGACGCCGTACCTACTCTTCCCGCTAATGTTCCTAATGAGCTATTGGCTGCGGTCAATAATCTTGCGCAGACAACGGAAGCCATAATGGCGTCCCTAAGAGAAGAAAATCCCCAAGCAATTCCCATCCCCGCTCCCGCCGTAGAAACCATCGAACATCCCCCTCACCTTTATACTGCATTTTCCGCCACCCGCGAAGAAATCGCTGCTGACCCAAATCATCAGTACCTCTCACACTACGAGGTGCAAGATCTAGCCGACGCACTGGCTACACTCCATATTCATCCCCCGCTCGTCATCCCGAACTCATTATCTTCGCATACCTTTACGGATGGGATCGTACCGATACAAGCGTTGGGAAGAACCCAACCCGCCACTCCCGCTGAGCTAATCGCGGAGGCAGAGCGACAAGATGTCGCCGTCCACCATCCTATACGACGAACCGCCCCATCCAGAAAGAGAGTACGAGGCCAGCGTTCCCGTACTGATAAGGGGAAGAAACGCGCCACCAGCGCCGATGAAGCACTTAGCCCTAAACCGGGTCCATCGCCCTTACGAGCGACCTCCTCTAACCCCGATGAGAATCGTGTTTGCAGATACTGCAAGACGCTCGGGCATAGGCAAGTTCATTGTCCCGAATACTACTGCCGCGTCTGTCGAGAATTATCTCCAGGCCATCTTTCGCTCTACTGCCCGCACTACACTAGGGAATCCCCCACTTCCTTAACCTGGAAGGACGATGGATTCTACCAAACCCTCGCACTTTGGGAGAATGATTTGGATGACGCGTATGCCGCTCAATGTAGGGAAGAAGAAGCGCTCTATGAGTTAGAACACATGAAAGCCGGACCAGACGAAGGTCCAGATGCCCTAGATTACTCGGACGATCCTATCTACTACGCTAACCAGGATGATTGAATCCGGTGGCTTCAACCCTAGTAAGGGGGTAATGTTACAATCACTCTACTTTCTTTACTGCTCACGTATCTGCCATTATGCCTTACATTCTTAGCAGCTTAGCTTTCCTTTCTTGGTCTTACTTCCGTATTCGACCTTTGTACTATTATCTCACCGTAGCCTTGGTCCATGCGCATATGGTTTCCTATTTAAGCACGTGTACTTCACTTAGAAACGTCACTTCAATCTTACTAGGTTTTACCCTGAAAACTTCCTTCGCTTAAGACCACCAATCTTAAGACGTCTGAACCGATCTCTTAGTCAAAGCACTCCTTTGACTAAGTCTACGAACCTCTTCTTATTTGAAGAGCTATACAAGACCTCAACAAACGTGAACGCTCTGTTGAGCCTTTGTTGTTAAGAACTATCCTAGTTCGTAACAACTGGTAGTTACCAAATTGGTGATGCAACAAATTATAAATGAATCAAATGACCATCAGCGACCCTTCACTAAATATACGGCGGCACTTTGCAGCTGGCTCCCAAACATCTTGCTCAGGATGAAATAGATAATTCAGCATATCCAAGTCATGCTCCGCCACAATCTTCTGCCCATCCCACGCACTGTCAGGCCGTCGAATATCCTTCCGATTGACATACATAGGATAATGTGTCTGCTGGATTGGTCCAGCCCAATCGAAATCGAGCAGCATGAAGTGTTTGTCGTCCCGCACAACAAAATTGGTATCTCAAAGGTCGCCATGAACGTAGCCGTCATTGTGATTGTGTAACTCCCGGATGAGAGAGGTGATGGTCTCCTTCAGCGGCTGACGGTCCAAAACACTTATCTCACTGAGCAGTCGATATGAGCCAGGTCGTTGTGGAAAGCAATCATTATCAATATCAAGGGCATCCATAACCACCAGATTCCAGCCGCCGGGTAAAGAATTGTAGGCGATAAGTTTGGGGGCGTTCCCCTTGCTGGCACAGAATTCGTGAGCCTGAGGGGAATAGTGCCTGACAAACTTCATGCATATCTTGCTCCCAGCCGCATCGCCAACGGTTTCCCCGAAGAAAATAAGTCGATCCCTGAGGATTTGAGTCTCATCATACGAGAATTCCTGAATGAAACCGGTGGAATTGGTATAACTCCGAGGGTAGGGACATTTAAGATATGGATCTTCGGGTTCGAGGGTCGGGATTGGATGGGAGTATAGTTTGGTGAGTTTCTCGACGGCAATTTTGAGAGCCCCGAAAGTACGAGCTGCCATCACTTGCATGCGGAGGTCTGTTGAATGCCAAAACAGAGGAATGATAGGGACCAGGACATCAGACTAGACTTTTTCAGTGAAAACAGAGCCTGAAAAGCCGATGCATGCCCCTATTTGTGATCAATAAAAAGCTTCAGCAATTAATCTGGTGAAATGAACTAACCGAAGACAATAATATGGATGCATGGAATGAAAGACCGGAGCCTCGCCATCTCAATCTTCGAGTCTTCCATAAACTTGCGGTAGTACAACATCGCCTCCATGAACGGTTCGGCAGTGCCACTTCCGATCTCGTTCTTCCCCTCAATTATCATCAGCACAAACTGTCCATTGGTAGACAAAATATGTCTGTCCGTCGTACATCCGGTTGAGCCAACCATAGAAGCATTGAGTATAATACCGTAGTCACGGAGCACTTGCCGGAATGTATTCATCCGCGCGAGCTCATTGGGATAGAAGGAGGCCATCTTTTCCGAAAGTTGCAAAACAAAGTCGTTATCGTGGACAGTTGGTTCATACTTTTGACAATCATCCACGAACTCGGCGAAGATAGGCTCAAGAAGAGTAATGGGAACAGGGTCCGCGGCTCTGCGAGGACGGTTGCAAAGGTACTCTTGCTGGTCCTGCTTGGTTGAGAATGCAGATGGTTTTGCACCGGCCGACGGACTACCCGCGCCCTTCTTGAGATAAGCGATTCACCGATCAACAGCTGGAATTTGTCGTGCAATGGCAGGATGTTTTATGACGATATGAATGCATCCGCGCTCTATTCCATCCGCAAACACATCAGACAGCTCGGTTAACGGGTGCAGCTCGATGCCGCCGTCTATGATCGCGTTCCGTAAGTCTATATCATTCAAATTGATCTTGACCTTCCAAAATATCAGATTATTAACATTCAACCTTAGGCATCATATCACTCACCTTCCATAGCTCAAGACGGTCGGCGGCAACATGGTCAAACTCTGGCTTCTTGGCGACCTTGATAACATTTTTGAGGTCACCGACAGTCTTTGTCCGCTCAACGTCGACTGGGAAAATATGGCGAGAATCATCGCCGAAGACAATGCAGTTAAGTTCAGGT